CCTAATCAAAAAGCACAGCGTGTTCATTTGAACATATCTTACACCTGCCATTTCCTTTCCTTTCTAACCACTTGTGGACTGTTCCAGATCAGTGTCTTCCTCATGCATTGCCCTGATCTTGGCTGCAGACCTGTTCATCCTGTCCCCTGTCTTTCCTCACTGGGTCCTTCCCCTGACTGACTGTACCACCCAACTCTGTCCACCTTCCTTCAATTCAAACTATACAGGGGTACAAGGGTAACCTTTCCAACCCCACCCCAAGCACATTACACTCCTGCTCTGAATCCTGTAATGACTTTCAGATCCTCAGCACCACTGACCAAATTGGAATCCACAGAATTTCAGCTCCAGAAGTTGTTCTGTGGGAGGGATCTGGGCATGGGAAATGCTGGGTTCACTCTGCCACATGGACAATCACCTCTCTTGAGATGGTTTTCCCCAAATTTGTTTGACCCCCCCCAACTGCTTTTGCAAAGAACACCATGCCACAGATCCAGCATCTCTGGAAGAGTACAGTGGGAAACAAGGGACTGCAGGTTAGATGTGGCTGCCCACATTTCACCCACTCTCCTTCCTGGTGGAGGAAACTGTTCTGTCCACTGTTATTCAACCTGCTGTGAACTCAATGCCTCCTTCCCCCTTGTTTCCAAAGTTTCTCTAACTGACCATTTACCTCCCTTTCCACATAATTAAGCCTTAGCATCCCTCCAACATTCAGTTCCGATCTCTTCTCCTAGGAATCCTTCCCAAATCTGTCACCTAAGACTCCTAAAGTGTTTATTTACCTGCATCAAAAAGTCAGAATATCAATGTAAGACATGTATGTATTGAGAAACTAAAGAAATGGCAAGATTTCCCCCCTCAAATAGCTTCAAAAGCCCTCTCAATGAGAGTGAACTCATGGGTGGCACTGTAAACAGTCAAATACATATGGCTGGAGAGGTCATAGATTCTATAGAAAACCCTATCTCTGTCACATCTCTAGACAAATGAAATTTCTTACCATATGCTAAATACTGAGCCTTATATTTACAGACAAGTATACCATACACCACTTATCAAAGAAGCTTGTTTTTGCAGTGGAGGGAGGCTACTTCAGAGTTCCACAACTGGTCATACACTGAGAATATACATCTGAGAGATGCCCAATACTACGTATTGAACTTCTACACCTAGGGCTCATGGAACATAGTGGAACAGGAGTAGAGAGAAAACTAGTGCATCCCTCAGTTTTCACCAGTAACGCATCCTTATACAACAGAGCATAATGCACATCGAAGGCCACAATGACCAAGTTTCAGAGAATAAGAGACTGAAGAGTGTGTGTCCCTGGATAGGATGCCTATATTAAAAGCAGGGACCATTGCAGAAGAGGGGGTGGAAAGATTGTAGGAGCCAGGGCTGGTTCATGAACACAGGGAAGCAGAGGCTTTCAGGCCACTGGAAGTTTGTACATGTGAACTTGTGGCAGTGGTGGCATGGAGCACAGGACCCATGCTGGCTCAATTAGAGCCTAGAGTGGAATGAGGGAAATGGGCAGCTGGCCAGCCCTAGTCTAGAAACTGTTGGAGACTGATTGCTGCTGGATGAGGGAGAGTGGACCTTACTTAGAATCTCTATATGGGCTGAGACTACAGTGGATGAATTTGTACAGAAGGACATCTGGGTACAAATGCTTGACTGGATAGGACTTAGCATATATGGTAGAATGTATGAGGTCTGATGGGAGGAGTTGTATGTGCAGGTATGGATGGAGGGGGGTGGTTTAAATTTGATTAAGAACTGTTGTATGAAATATACAAAAGGTCAAAAATTTTTAAAAAGATAATGTCAAGGTAAGATTATATTATATCCACACATCAGAATTGTATTTTACAGAATGATCAGGATCTTTAAGGGTATGCATGGGGAAGTTTAACATCAATAAAGAATTTACCATGAGAATGTAAATTTGCATAACCACTATAGGCAACAACAGTGTGGACTGTCCTTAAAAAATAAAAATAGAAGTACCATATACTGAACTACGCCATGTCAAGGAAATGAAGTCAGCATGTGTTAAGAGAAGCCTGCACACCCACGTTTATTGTAGCACTAGGCACAATAACCAGGCGTGGAATCAACCTAGGTACTTATCCACAGATGAATATATAAAGAAAATATAGTATTATGCACAATGGAGTATTATTCAGACATAAAGAAGAATAAAATCATGTCACCTGTATGAAAATGGATGGAATTGGGGCTCATCATGTGAAATAAGTCAGACAATTTTCACATTTCCTCTCATATGTGGAAGGCAGGATAAACAAAAAGGTGACCTAAAGGTGACAGGAAGGACTGTTACAGAAGGTAAAGGGGACCAGAGCGGGGGGGGGTATAGTTGGCAGACTGGGTATGATAGAGTATGATGTCTGCATGTGTGGACATGTCACAGTGAGAGCCATCAATATGTACAATTCATTTGTGTTAATGACCATAAGTTTTAAAGAATCTGTCACATCTGACGCCAAGAGAGTCTGACAGAATGACGGGAGGAGGATGCCGGCAAGTTCCCACGCTCCATTTTCATTTTGCAGACATTGTCAAGCACCAGCTAATGAATACTGTAGTGAAGAAAACCTGGATCAGACATGGAAAAGACAAAGTGCTATGGATTCCTAAAGACCAAGTGGGTTGTAAATGAAGCTTACAGATTTTATTATGGCATTTTTCTATATAATATAAACAAATTCGCTTCTTTCTTTAAAAGTATCATTTTTGCATATTACTACTTGAGGAAAATGCTTTTCTTCTCACTGGCAAAAAGATGCCTGGTGATTGGGAATGCCCAGCTCAGTTCCTTGCTGGAATTCTAAAGCATATTACAGACTATGATTTAACACACACATAGCTCCATCACAGAGCTCTGGGTTAGGGGAGGAAGTACAGGAGAAGACCGGAGGTAATTCTAATGTTTCTACTTCTGGATTGGAAATGGACAGGACTTATCTGTGGCTCAGGTCTCCCACCCAAATCCCCTTGACCACCACATTTGCCATCCTAATGCCATCCACTCCAGAAAGCAACAAGAAGCAGACCAAGCAGTCATCAGCCTGGCTCTCCACCACTAGCTGGGAAGAACCTTGGACTGTGAGGACCTTGGTAGAGCTGACATTGCCTCAACCAGGCAGCTTGCTCTTCCCACTCAGCCCAGCTTAACCCCTGCTTGCCTTCTCCAGTAACCCCTTGCTGGCCCTTTGCATGCCTTTGCACAGCACTATTTTATTTTGGTCCTCATCCTGATATCATTTCTTGCTGATCTAGCCCATTCTATCTGGAGACCCTTTGTGGAATTGTGCCTTGGAGTCTTCTGACATAATAGCAGAGTCAGCCTCAACCCACATCTCCATCTTTATCTCCTACTTAATGTTTGCTGTAACTGGCCGACAGCTATTCCATGCACACCTACAATTTTGTTCTCTCGGAAAGACCCACTTCAAGACTATCTGAAGAAGCTTTCTCTAACTTCTTAGCCCATGATGATGACCTCGCCTTGCGACTGGGGTATCATTCATACCATCTCCAATGATTCACATGATAGGTAATACAATATATTACACCCAGAGGGTCCTTTTGAGGAGAAAGAACTTTAGTGGGGATTCACACCATGTGTTTGTAAGTTTAAGACTTTGTAAAATCTTAGAACATGTCAAATAATATTGAGCCTAGTGTTTGTTTCTCAAACTAATTTAGTCATGAGCAAACAGACAGAAGGGAAATGACGCACCTAAGTCAGTGATGTTTTTCACAAGTGACTTCACATTCTAAGAGGTTCTGGTGCCCATGTCTTACTCCAGATGCTTTAAATGGCAATAGTCCAACAATTAGAACTAGCCTCAGAGCTTCTCAACCCCTACTGCAGTGCCATCCTTACTTATACGACTCTACGCCTGCTAAGTGTGAGGTAATGAGCGGAAAGCTTGTAGCTCCGTGCCTATCACACAATGAAGAGAGACGCTGCTAGCAGAGCTGGGGAGATGGAGCACAGCACTTCTGTGCAAGCATGAGGACCTGAGTTCAGATCCCAGAAACCTACAACAAAAGCTGGGTATAACCACAGGTGCCTATAACCCCAGCATTGGGGAACAGAGACAGGTGAATCCTGGGGGCTTGCTGGGAAGCCAGAGTAGCTGAAACTGAACTTCAGTTCACTGAGAGATCCTGTCTCAAGGCAATAAGGTGGACAGCAATAGAGGAAGAGTTGATGATATCCTCCTCTGGACTCCACATCTTCATAGAGTGGCATGCACACACACACACAATGCCAACTGCTTTCATGCTGAGACAGTAGGGCAGAGTGGTGCTGAGTTTGCTCTGGAAATCAGTATGCTATAGCTCTCAGTACATAGGCCATAAGGTGCAGGGCCAGATCTGCTTTGGTCATTGGTACCTAGTATGGACCACACAGTCAGTAAGTATTTATACTGAGTGAAATGAGGACAAAGCCACTTCCATATGGCAGTGATGACAGTTTGGGCTATCACGGGAGCATGTGGTGGGTGAAAGCAAATAGCCTCTTACAATGTACAGGACAAAGATGCTCCAGCTGTAATGCCACTGGTGCCAAGGCTGAGAAACCCTGCTTCATAGTTGGGCTTGTTGGTGCTAAATTTCTAAATTTCTACTGGAATAAGCTGGCCTTAAGCAAGCTATGACATTTCTTTAAGTGTTCATTTCTTAATCTTTAGATTGGGACTTTAATCATATTTTATAGGTTGTTGTGGTATACACACGCACACATACACCACACATCACAGCAACAGTTGCACAGAAAGTGTGACCTATGAACATTCTTCCCATTACCGTCATCTAATGTCTCATGTCAATCATGAGGCCCTTCCCACGGAATTGACCATCAGAACTTGCTATGTCAGTCCTGGAGTGGAGACTCTCACCACAACAAGCCCTGCACTCTCATTTACTCTGACTGGATAGTCAGATTCTATTCCGGTGCTTACCAGCGGCTCAATTGTGAAAATGTTACTCAGGAAGAGCATGCTGTCTCCTTGAACCAGGTTCCTCTGATTCTCAAAGGTGCGGGAGAGAATGGAAAGACGCTCTCGGAGCGAAGGGTCCAAGATGCATTCTTCAAGAAATGTGTCAGTTTCTTGCTTTTCCTCTTTGCTCAGATAATCACAGACCCTAAGGAAAATACAGGAAATGTGAGCTTCACTTTGGGACTCCCATGAAGAACTGTGTACAGGGCTCCCTTCTAGTCCCTGATCCTAGAAATGTCCTTACATCACCCTGGGGTGGTCCCTCCTTGTCCTGGGTCTACAACACACTCCCCAGTGACCCTGCTCTCAGTTCTCAGACCTTTCAGAGGTCAAGTTTGCTGATCTCTTGTTCTTGTCGCCTCTTTCCAGAAGTCCTCCAGGGAATTCTGCCCTACCCAGGGCTCTCTGTTTGCTCCTAACCCCTTATGTATCTGGACAAATATTTCCTTTTAGGCAGTTGTGTTTTCCAGGCTTATTTTTAAATTATTTAACATCTATCCTGCCACACACACTGCAGGGATGATTTTGTTCCTGTTCAACTTGTCTCATTTTAATTATTTCTTAGCTATTAGTTATCTAGGGAATAGAATCTGAGGGCAGCAAGGGTCAGGTTTAGATACTCATTTTACGATCTATTACAAGCCCTGTGACTTTGGAATTACCCCATTTCTCTAAGCTTCAGAGCCTTGTCCCTATAAAATAGAAATGACAGGAACAGAATTCCTCCATCTGAAAGACGGAGGTTAAATGTGATCCAGGACTTGGTTCAGTTCCTGGAACAGAGCAGGTGTTCCATCAATATTGACTTTCTCCCTATGTCAACAATAAGCAATGGCTAAACTGCCAAGCTTATAAAGTGCTTAAGCTACACTTGACTATGCCTCATTTTCTCTCTTTCTAGATCTACCACGGTCATTCAGAAAATCAGCTTTTCCAAACCCTCCATTCACCACCCTCAACAGAGCTATGCTCATCTTTCACTGGGACTTTCTGAAGACTGGATTGCATCTCCCATAGGACATATGACCACATTCCCAGCACCACACTACTGTGACCCATGATGAGAGGATGTATTTAACAAGTGGGTGCCGAGTGGGAGCCTGGGACACTGAATTCCTGACCCACCCGAACCTGACTTTTTAAGTGATTTCATGTGAACTAGAGGCTCCACTTTGCCAAGGAGCTCTTTTTAATAACTTCAGTGTTAGAGCCCTTTGGCCACATAACATAAGGGAATCAAAGAAACAGATTCAGTGTGTTCTGGTTCCAAGGAAGAAAGCATTTCCCACTTCCTTTTTGCTACCAGGTGTGAGGCAGTGTCCAGGGTAACCAGCAGAGCCCTCCTGTGCCACTGGGCAGATCAGAGCAATGAAAGGCAGCTTGGAAAGAAAGGAATCCAGTTCCTTTTTATCTTGCTATTTGCCAACTTATCTGAAAGGCTTTCAAACTGTGTATCATTTGAAACAATAACCTCTACTTGCAGGAGTCAGTTCTAAAGAAACAATCATGGACATAGCTATAATGACATTCATTAAAGGGCAGGGATGGTATCACATAAAGAGATCAAATTAGATGGAAGGTGGCGAAAGTCTGGCTACATAAATGCTGGGAATTATAGACATTACAGTTGCTGTGCATTTGCCTTCTCGTTAATTGTATGATTTAGTGCTCATAGTCATTATATGAGGGGGTTATTGTGCCGATTATTATTTCTGCTTCATAGATGATGAAACTAGGGCTCAAAAAGGTTAAGAATCTTGTCTCAGGTCCCAGGTTCAGCTGAAAGATGGAGCCTGAAATTCAAACTTGCTGTTTTGCAATTCGAACCTCCCAATGTTCGGCAATAGCCTGTCCTGCCTCCCATGAGGTAATGTGTCAATGGGGTACTAAGCGGCTGTTTAAAAAGTATTAAAGAAAACTGCTTAACAGCATTTTCAAATGTGAGAAACATTCTAAAGATGAAAAGGTAGGTTATAACATATCATGAGCATCTCTCAAAATGTCCTGTAATTGTGGTGGGTCACCTGTCCTCTTGATCAGGAGGCTGTGGAGACCCCAGGCCATGAGGTAATGTGTCAATGGGGTACTAAGCGGCTGTTTAAAAAGTATTAAAGAAAACTGCTTAACAGCATTTTCAAATGTGAGAAACATTCTAAAGATGAAAAGGTAGGTTATAACATATCATGAGCATCTCTCAAAATGTCCTGTAATTGTGGTGGGTCACCTGTCCTCTTGATCAGGAGGCTGTGGAGACCCCAGGGGATGGACTTGAACCAGTGTCCAGTCTACAAACAGGAGGGTCAACACAGAGGGAATATTTCCTCCATGCTTCCAAGCGAAGCCAGCCATGGTCAAACAGGACCTTTGACTTATCTTCACATAGGCGGAACTGGTAAAAGAAAGGAGCCCAGGGCTCCTCCCAAGCCCATGTGACCCCTGAGGAACAGATCCTCAAACGGCCTTAAGAGTAAAAATAAATTGGTTTATGTGGGCCAACTGTGTGGCTTTAAGCACCCAAAAGGAAAGTATAACCAAAGATTAAAGAGGCCAATATAATTTTTTAAGAGTCCATATGTATAGCTAAAGGCTACA